ACACACACACACACACACCATTTGTGATTTGGTCAGCTGGTATCTCCATTAGTCTTTGAAGCGTCACCAGGTTCTCCTGTCTTTCAGGCATTTCTCAGCTGGACATGTTTGTCACTTTTCAGCACTAAATAAGAAAAAATGTAAGATTTTTTGCTTTGAGGACCTGAGGCTGTCACAGTGAAAAACCACTTGAATCAGTTTTTGGAGCACCAGCAGAAAACCTGAACCTTTAACTGAACTGGCTCCAGCAGGTTTCTGTGAGACAATTAAAGCCCTTCTGAGGACAAACCTCACTATTTAAGGGCTTTTCTTTACTCTGTGCTTTTCACTTATGCTTTTTATACAATCAAGTCTCAACTGTTGGTTTGAATTTCTTGCTGTAATTCTTATAATCATTGAAATGAGCATTTTGTTTATTTAAAGCTGGATGTCTTTTTGTTGTGGAACCACCTGATTTGCACATGAACATACTAATGTTTTTATGTTTTGTTCTCATTTATGGTGAACTTCGCTGTGGGAGAAAGACTTTAACCACATTTGATGATAGATTCTGATGCTAACGTCAACCCCACATAGCATTTTAAAGTGTGGCTTGTGGAGTTATCTTTGTGAGTTTTAATTTGCCCAAAGATTGATTTTATCAGAAGTTTGGATTTGTCAGGATTTCACACAAACATTCCTGTTAAAGTAATAAAAGCCACACTTATTGTGTTTGGGTGGTGTTGTGACTAATGAGACCAAAGCTTAATGTGCCACCATTTTTATTTTTAATTTAATTTCATTTTTATTTTTCCTGTGTTTGGATAATGTGTGGTGTATTTGCTGAAACATAAATGCAATAATGAAAAAATAAAAGCCGGATGACAGATACCAGATGTGCTTGTTGAAGTCTTGTCTGTTCTTCAGGCAGATTTAAAAGTTTGTACGACGGACTACAAGAAGCTTTGGGACATTTTGGGAGACATTTCCTTTAAAATGATTAAGTATGTTTCATTAAAGAGACAGATTCCCCACTGCCCAGTGAGACTATAATTAACAGGATGAAGTGATTTCAGGTTTTCCTGTTGTTCAGAACTGAAACCAAAATGATTTTCTTCCA